CTCTAGATAAAGTTCAGATGGAAAGATGTGAAAGAAGACAGTCATGTGTTCACTTAACAATGCAATTTCCAGAGCTTTAGAAATTTCACGCAGTTTCTGCTACACCATAGGGAATGAAAGGACAGGCAGTGTCTTCCCACCTTCTGATACGGCATTCAAACCACAGGAAATGGCAGTGGAACTGGAGTAGGCCCAGGAGGCAGGCCTACAATAGCCTCAGCTCTGAGCTGTATGGAGGAAGAACTGAGCATTCAATGGAATCAAATCCAGAGAGACCAAGGAAGAAAGAAATTACCTTAAAACAACCCTCTCCACAAGCCTCAAAGACTACACAGGGGCCAGATAATGGAGTCCTGTGATAGGGATAAAGACTCCGCCTTTGTCTCTGTCGAAATGGAAGCACCACTGAAGGGTGAAAGGATAAATTTTAGATGCTGAAGGACGAAACAGTAAATTAAGAAAAATTTTCTTTGAGGCTTCACAGGAACATCTATTTACCCATAGAACTCTCTCATTTGGAAAGAGTTTGGCAAACACTATTGATGTTGTGGCTTCCTCTCTCATTTCTGAGCTCTCACTTGTGTTTAGTTTTGATATGTTCTCACTGATTGGTTGAGATTTTCATTCAACTCACTCTCTAGAGTCCAGAGCAATTTTCCTTGCTCCGATATGGAGATAGTATTCAGATCAGAAACAGAAATTCCTAAGAATAAAGAAGCATGAAGATTTGTATGCTTTTCAGAATTCCCAATCTTTGTTGAACGGATACTATGAGGGTATTACAGAAAGGCTGAGAGAAACATTTCACAAACTGACCCATTGTTTGCCACCTTCTGTGGGCATAGGGACCAGCATCATATATAGATACCAAGCTCTCTTCTAAGTACTACTGAATCAATAGTATGGCGACAGAAAACAAAAAATTAGATGACTTAAGTTTGCCATATGGCTTTATAACCAATTGCACTTTGGAAAACCCCTTGATGTACCATGAAGTGGGTACAGCATTGAATAAAGGGCAAGTTTAAAGTCCTGATGCCATATTATAATGCCTTTTCATGTCTGAGTAAATGGAACTTCAGTGTCAGTCACAAAAGCAGAAACTCCCAAGAAGCACACAAGGGAAAAACACCCAAGGGCAGATTCTTGACATCTTCACCCAGGGAGACCAGGTTTATGTAATTCTCCAACAGCACATGCAGGTACAAAGCCCTCTGAGCTGGGCTTAGGCATTTCCATTCCTCCTGAGAAAATGCAATAGTCACATCCTGGAATGACAGGCATCCCTGTAACAAAACCACATTTCACCAAGGGAAAATGGTGACAGTTCTTATTCTCAGACTGAGACAGGAGAAAGATGCAAAATTGATTTAGTTGAAATGAGTATTCTGGAAGGCCCACGAATACTTTTGAGCAAGTCATGTATCCATAATGTTGGTTTATATTATTTTCCCATAAGATAGCCTGTAAATCACTAATAGATTCTCATATTTATGGACAATACATGAAACATACAATTAAAATTTAATACTGCCCTGTTTATACGGAGGTGTTAAATATTATGTTATACACACTGGGTGATAGTCAATGTCTAGATAAACTAGAGTGTGAGTAGTATCTTCAAAGAGGACAAAGTCCACAGTGTCTTTTAAAAAGTTCAGACTTTTCAGTTGTGATGAGGATAACAGCAGTAAAAGTTTTGAATACACCCTATATGCTAAGCATTACTCTAAATGATTTATATACATTAACTTGTTATCAACATAACAGCTCACTAGAAATGGATCTGTTCCCATCTTACAGGGGAGAAAACCTGTCACAAACATTGTAAAAAACTTGCCTCAGGTCTAAATCTAAGAGTTGACCCAGTGAACACTGGAACTCAGGTGCTGGGCTTTAGAAATATACCTAAAGAATAAAATAGTTTGGTAACAGAGGCTTGAAAGTACACTGACAAAGTGAGAAAACTTGAAAAATAACCAAGTTTATCGACACTGAATTGCAAAAAAGTTCATTAAATTTGTGCTCGCAAAAATGTGTATAATATGCTACCGTTCTTACCTGTATTTAAATCAAGGCAATAGTGTAAAACAAAATTACAATCATGGAATATATTTAAGATATAATTTTGGTTGCTAAAAGTATAAAACTTATTTATGAAATGGTAATGTCTTTTTAAAAACTATTGACTTGCACATTCATGCAGTATTGCGTATACATACATATAAACCAATTACCTAAAATGAGAGGAGTTGCCCCTTGATGTATTTTTGGATGATTTTATTCATCGTTATTTTAACTCATGCTCTGTTGGCACCTTTGAAACAATAAAAATGTATCAGCTGTACTTAATTTGATTTTTCAAAATTATTTCATAGTAGGCTAGAAAAAAACTGTAGAAGCTGAAAAGAATATAGAATACATGAACTCCAATCTCTACACATTGCTTATTCAAAAATATAAATACCACTTTACCCATTTACATTTACAGTAGATATGTAAACATTAACAAAAGCCAGTTTGTTCTACTCCTAAGTTAGCATATTAGTAGATATTTGAAAAAATTATTGGATAATTAAAAACATGACAAAAACGAGCCCAAAAACGGCAAGTGTGGCTTGGACAATTAGAGGGAGTGTTGTCCTGGGTGCCAGAGGGTCCCAGGTTTGATTCCTGCACATACCTAGGTTGTGGGTTTGGTCTTGGGTCACATTAACGTTTCTCTTTTTTTCTCTCTCTCTTCACCCTGCTTCCCTCTCTCTCAAGTCAATAAATGTATCCCTGGGCAAGGGTCTTTTTAAAATGACAAAAATGAAATTGGGGGCAAAAACTCTCATGAAGTAGGAATGTTTTATCAAATACTTGGTATAGCAAAAACACTGGATCCATTTCCTCTTACATTACAGTGGAAAAAAGGGGCAGATCAGAGCGCCTGATTAGGCAGTAGAATAGAGAAAGGGAGGGGAGAAAACAGATTGAGTGAGGCAGAGAGTCAAAGAGCTGAAATTGTTAAAATTCACATGTCTAAGGATAGAGATTGCAAAAGAGATGAATAGAAAAATATTCCTTGCAAACCATATCTTAAAGAGAGTTGGACTGGCTGTATTCTATGAGACCAGACAGACTGTAAGACAAAAACTGTCACAAAAGACCAAGAACATTATAATGATAAAAGGACCCATTCACCAGAAAATTATAACTATTATAAATATAGATGTATGTTATATTAGACCTCCCAAATATATGAGGTAAACATTGACAGAAATGCAGGTAGAAATTGGACCCAATTTCCAATAATCATAGGAGACTTTACTACTTAGGTTTTACTTATAGGTACAACCAAACACAAGACCAATAAAAATATGAAACATTTGAATAACACTATAGACCCAAGAAACCTAACAGGCATACAGAGAGAGGCATGGCACCCAACCCAGCAGAAAACATTATTCTCAAGCACATATGAACTCATCCTCCATAATAGTCTACAAAACCAATCTTAAAAATATTTTACAAATTGAATTCATAGAAGTATCTAATCACAACGATATAAAACTAGAAACAAATGCAGAAGCAAAACAGAAAAACCTACAAAATATAAAAAATAAAGAATTCATTTTTTAAAAAGAATTTATTGATTTGAGAGAGAGAGAATGGGGGAGAGAGAGAAAGAAACATTGATTGGTTGTTCTACTTATTTGTGCTTTCATTGGTTGATTCTTGCATATGCTCTGACCAGAGATTGAACTTGCAACCTTTGAGTATCAGGACAATGCTCTAACCAACTGAGCAACCCTGCCATGGCAAGAACCCATTCTTAAAAAACCAATAGGTCAAAAAGGAAATAGCAACAAATTTTTTAAAATAATCTGGATAAAAATAAAGATAGAAAACACTAAAATTGACAAAATACAGTGATACCAGCACTAAAAGGTACTGTTAAGTACTTACATTAAAAAAGCAGAAAGATCTCAAATCAAATATCTGCTTATATACCTCAAAAAAACTAAACTAAATTTAATAGAAGGAAATAAGTAAGTAAAAACGATCAGAGCAGCAACAGATAACACAGAGACCAGAAAAATGATATGAAAATCAATAAACCAAGAGTTGGTTTTTTTTGAACAGATTTTAAAAATTACAAACCTTCACCTACACTAAGAAAGAGAAGATTCAAAAATCAGAAATGAAAGAGGAACTATTCCAACTGATGTCACAGAAATTTTTTTAAATTTTATTTATTTTTAGAGAGAGGGAAGAGAAGGTGGAGGGGAGAGAGGGAGAGAAACATCGGTGTGAGAGAGAAACATCTCTTGGTTGCCTCTCCAACTGGGAACCTGGCCTGCAACCCAGGCATGTGCCCTGACTGGGATTTGAACCAGCAGCCTTTTGGTTTGCAGGCCAATGCCCAACCCACTTAGCCACACCAGCCAGGGCTGATGTCACAGAAATTTTTAAAATAATTTTAAGAAAATCATATTAATAATTATATAAAAATTACATAACCTAGAAGATATTGGTAAATTCCTAGGAACACACAAGGAATAATAATGAAAAAAATTAAGTGTCAAAAAAATTATAACTAGACAAATACAAGCAGTAATCAAAAACAGGAAACATCTGTTTAAGATGATTATGGTAAAAGTGAAAATAAATGAGAAAAGATGTGGAGAAATTAGAATGCTGATACGTTGTTGATAGAATGATATAGCCAATGTGCAGAATACTGTGGTAGGGCCTTAAGAACGTCAACTGTGGTATCCAGTAATGCCACTCCTAGACAAAAGCACAAATGAATTGAAAAACAATAGTCACATACTTGTACACAAAAGTTCACAGCAGCACTATTACCATTAGCCAAAAGCTGGAGTCTACTGTAAATATCCTTCAACCAATGAATGAATAAATACAATGTGATATAGTCATACAATGGAATATTATTCAGCCATAAAAAGAAATGTAATCCTGATACACACTACCCCATGGATCAACCAAAAACATCATTGTACCTGAAAAAAATCGGACAAAAAAGGTCACATTTCACACCATTCCACTTACACGTAATGTCTAGAATAGGTAAATCCATAAAGAGAAAGCATATTAGTGGTTTCCAGGGAGTGGGAGAAAGAGTGAAAGGGGAGTAATTCATTAGTGGGGAAAGGGTTTCTTTTGCGGCTGATAAAAATATTTTAGAACTACCTGCCATATTTGTACAACATCGTGAATGTACTAAATGCCCCTGAATTGTACTTTAACATGGCTAACCTTATATTAATTTCATTCCATTAAAAATAGTGACTCAATTTGTGGATGAGAGTTTGCATTTTATAAACACAATTGGCAGTGGAACACACACACAATAATATAAATTAGAGTTACTTTTTCTCAGTTTTTTTTTTCTCAGTCTTTCATTTCCTTGAAAATCTCTAAGTGTCAATTGTGGTGAGCTATATTTTAATATTGTAACACCCTTGAATATACACTGATAATATGTTTCTGGAAAATATAGTAAGTGAAGCAGAATACCTCTATGACATGAGTGTGGAATGTAATGAAAATTTACAGGAACAAGGCCCAACTGATTAAAGGCTCCACTTCAACAGCCAATAATCTATAACAGAGAAAGATCAGGTCCTTCATTTTCCAAAGCAGAGAGAAGCTAAGAAGAAAGGGGGAGTTTCCAGATGAAATGTGATGGTTTTTGCACATCTCTCAACAAATCCCTCCATGACCCTTATTAATGATAAAGGGAAAAAACATTCACTTTATGGTGCAGAGAGCACTTCAGCCAAGTGAGTACCAGGTGAACTGCAACAATGGAAATGTGGTGATTGAGGCACACGGAAGGACATGTCATCGCTGCTGTGACTTTACTGGCAAAAGTACATAAATAAGGAAATTGCCCTGGCCAGGTGGTTTAGTTGGTTGGAGCATCATCCTGTACACCGAAAGGGTGCGGGTTTAATTCCCGATCAGGGCACATACCTGTGTTGCGGGTTCGATCCCCAGTCAGGGCGTGTAGGGAGGCAACCCAATCGATGTTTTTCTTTTCTTCTCTTTATTTAGTTTTAGAGAGAGGGGTATGAAAGGAGAAAGAGAGGGAGAGAAACATCGATGTGTAAAGAGAAACATCGATCACTTGCCTCTTGCACATGCCCCAACTGGGGACCTGGTTGCAATCCAGACATGTGCCCCGATGGGGAATCAGAACGGCGACTTTTTGCTTTGCAGGGTGATGCTTAGCCAGCCGAGCCACACCACTCAGGGCCGAATCAATGCTTCTCCCTCACATTAGTGTTTCTCTCTCTCCCTACCCTTTCCCCTCCCTTTTTTTCCTTTCCAAAAATCAATAGTAAAAAATATCCTCAGGTGAGGATTAAGAGATTTTTTTAAATACATAAATAATAATCTGAAATCCGATCACCAAAAAACATTAGTTTTATGCAAATATCAATCCATATGTACCTCTCACGTTCTGTAACTCTAATAGTGCATTCTATTAAATGGCAAGTCTTCTTACTAATCTAGCGAGCAAGTCTCTTCAAAGTACTCTTCTTTGTCAGAACTGTCTGAGCTATTTTTATCACTACTGTCGTCCTGGTTAAATGAGCATTTTCTTAATCCCGATCCACAGAGGTGATGCTGCAGCCACATGAACCTAAAATCTGCAGGTCCCTTCTTCACTGATACCCGAGCCTCTGAGTCCATCCCAACAGGGATGTTGGACGTGGGCGCCTTCCCAAGTTGATCTGTCATCACTGAGGGCATGTGTTCAGTGTTTGGAGGTCATTAACTCTGGCAGGACTTCATGCCCTCTGGGAGCCTGGATGGAGAATGCAGAGAAGGTTCTGGGACAAAGGAGAGACGTATATAAACTGCTGACCTTGACAATCATAGGAAGAAAAGGGAAAAAAGTAAGTAACCAAAACAACTTCACTAGGCAAGAACATCAGAAGGAGAGAATTAAAGGTTGCAGGTTCTAAACCCACTGCTCTTAGGAGGAAAAGCAAACACGGCCTCTAACCCAGGACACATTGTTTACCTGAGAAGCAGCCGTGTCGTCCTGCTCTTCCTCCTGCTCCTGCTCAGGGCTGGGCTCCGGAGTCAAGTCTGCATTTTGAGAATGTGCCGTCAGAAGCCTCAGCACAGCCCTTTTATCTGTTCCCACCACACTCACAGGCACAAAACACTGGAAATGCTGAAAAGGCCACTTTCTCCCGTCCTTTATCAAAAGAGAGCTCCCACATGGACACTTCCCGGCTTTTTCCTTCTTTTCAGCTGCTCTCTCCCCCCCCACAGATATCCACAAACTCCTACAGAGGTGAGAACGTACACTGCTCTCCTGAACCCCAAACCCAGTAGAGCGCCCCACTCTCATAGGTGCTTTCGGGAGCCCTCCTGCTAATCCCTGGGCTCGACTAAGCATCCCTTGGAGCCCCTCCTTAAACAGTGGTGCTCCACCCAGAGCAGTTATCCCACCTTGTGGAGGAGCACTCAGCTGGTAGAACTTCTTAAAACTCCTCAAGTGACGTAGGAGGAACCCAGAGGGGAACACTTCAGCTTTAATGAACACGCAGATCCCTTGGGGAACCGGGTTCCCCTCTAAGTTACGGTCCTGCAGGTCAGCAGTGAGGCCCATAAATGGGATATTCGTCTCGTTCCCTCCTGGGGCCCGTGTTGCTCCCTCAGAGCTGTTTTCAGTAGTGCTTCTTTGTATCTCCCTGTCATTGATTTTTCAAAATGCCAGTGTAGAATAGAACCTAAAGATAGGTGGATAGGAGGATACAGAACGGGAGTTTAGACTAGTCGTCCGGAGGATTTTTTTCATTGTTGTGTAATTAACTTCTTGTTGTAAATGGGTAGGAAATATTTGAAATGATAAGTGCCTGGGAGTTTTCCAAAGTGAATGGACATTGTACTTCCCTTTCAGCAATATATGAGCGTTCTAATTCCTCCACTGACATTGGGTGTCCTTTTTTAAAATTAAGCCACTAGGAAATATGAAGTGGTGTTGAGTATGGTCTTCCTGGTGATTCAAACAAAGGCCTTTTGAAAATGTGACATAAATCGTGAGAGAAAGAGAGAGGGTGAAATAGTATTATGCCTTAAAAAAGAAATTCCTTCCATAAGCAACAAAATGGATGAAGCTTGAGGACCTTATCTAAGTGAAATAAACCAGACGCATGAACACAGAGATTGCATGGTCTTATTTATATCTAGATTCTAAAGTGTCAAACTCATTAAAAGCAGAGAGGAGAATGGTGTTGCCAAGGGCTAAGGGTGGTGGAAATTGGGAGACGTTGGCCAAGAGGTTCAAAGTTTCAGTTATGCAGGGTGAGTAAGTTCTGGAGATCGAATGTGCAGCAGGGAGACCACAGATAATGATACCGTGCTGTGTATTTAAATTTGCTAAGAGAGTATTTCTTAAATGTTCTCCCCACACATACTCTTGTCTTTGCAAAGCCTGCCCAACAGAAATTCCCAAAGTTGATATAATTTTAATCTATTTAAGACCCTTGTGTCCGGCCCTGGCTGGTGTGGCTGAGTGGATTGAGTGCCCGTCTGCAAACCAAAGGGTCGCCAGTTCAATTCTCAGCCAGGGCACATCCCTGGGTTGCAGGCCAGGTCCCCAGCAGGGGGCATGTGTAATGCAACCACATCTGGATGTTTCTCTCCCTCTCTTTCTCCCTTCCTTCCTCTCTCTAAAAATAAATAAAATATTTTTAAAAAAAGACCCTGTGTCTGTTTCATAACATAAAAATAACAAGTAATTTAATGTAAAACGAGTTTTCTTGGAAAAATCAGAAGGTATTTTATTCTTAAGGTCAAGGAACTTACTAATACAAATAATAATAACAGAAACTCTTGTGTACATAGATGTCCTACCCGGGTGACTCAAAACTCACACAATAGAGAAAGGGAACTGTCTGTCCCACATGAAACCAAAGTCCCCTGTAAAACATCCCTTCCTTCGAGTTACCCCAGCGTCCTGAGTTCAACCGTTTAACTACTTGCTCTACCAGCAGCGTCCAACGTGTGGCTCACGGGCTACATGCGGCCCAGGACGGCTCTGAATGTGGCTCAGCACAAAATCGTAAATTTACTTAAAATCGTTTTTTTCCTCATTGGTTTTTGTTGGTGTTTGTGTATTTAATGTATGGCCCAACACAACTCTTCTTCCTCCAGTGTGGCCCAGAGACGCCAAAAGGTTGGACACCCCTATGACTAAACACTCCCGAATAGCAGGGACCATGACTGCTCCATCTGTTTTTCAACGACCATATAAAGCGGAAACGATTACTCTACGAGCTTGCATCTCTTCACCAAAGCACCAGGGAACTGAACGGACTCCCACTGGGTTCCTACCTGAGACATCCCACAAGGGAATATTACAATAGGCCAGATTGTAAAATCAGGGTTCGCTTTGCCCCTTGAGATCGAGGAACACAGTGGGAAGACTAGAGACTTCCGGTGGGTGGGTGTGGTAGAGAGCACAGGAAGAAGAAAACACAGGGCGAAGATGGCAGGTGGGTAAGGTGTGGTTGCAGAGAACAAGGTGCATGTGGGGTTGAGGGTACAGGGAGGAGCCTGTGAGGCTAAAATGCACACAGGGTTAGGGTTCAGTGGGGTAATAGTCACTGCAGAGTATAAGGGCACAAGGGGGCAACATATAAGAAAATGAAGAGGACGGAATGTCAGGTGTCAGGAAGCAAGAGTCATAAAGGGGAGGAGTGGGAACTGGTGCAGGGGGTCATGGGCACAGGTGGGTAAATGCACTGGAGACACTGTCAAAGGCGTGGCGGTGCAGGACCTGGGGGCTGACTGTGGTCCATGGCAGAGGGAGAGGGTACAGGGAGGAAACGGGGCTTGGAGGATAAATGGACACAGGTGGACAAAATGGGCACGGGACACAAGAGGGACTCAGGAGACGGAGGAGGTATCAGGGGGTGCTGGAGAGCTGAAGGTCCCAGGCAAGCAAATTGGAATTACAGAGTTAGGGAGTAACAGGGCGCAGTTATAAAAGCACAGGGGAGATAGGACATGCTCCACATGGGAGGGCTGGCAAGAGGAAGGGTGGAATAATTGGTCTGGGGTCCCTGAAATGGGGGATCATATATAGGGAAGCAGACAAGTTTGGGGGAGAACAACTCAGAGCCTGTTCTCTCCTCTTCGGGGATGCCAGGTACAGAGAGTGATCTTGGGGAACCTTGTTTATCTGTGCCTGATACTTAGCCATGGAGATGAATGCGTGCAAGCTGTCCTCATACCAAGCTCTGCTTGTGTCTTTCAGAACTTCCATGCCCCAAACCTGATATAATGAAAATCCTTTTATTTACTGTAGCATTTCTAAAATATAGAACCTGCTTTATTGTAAGAAAATAAAACAGCAACACACATTATACCTGAAGTATTCCTTTTTCCTTGCTTCTCCCTTATAAGAAGCCATCCCAAGAGGTGACTGTTAGTACTAGTTTTGTGGATATATTGTAATATATTCTTTTTTTCATTTTTAATTTTTTATTGTATTTTTGCCATTACCATTTAGTCCCCTTACACCACCCTCCCCCTCCCAATCATCACATTGTTGTCCATGTTCACGAGTCCTTTTTCCTTTTTGCTCAATCCCTCCTGTGAAGACATCTACACATTACCATCGTACGATCCAAGTAATTTAATAGTATTTTTATTGAGCAAACCTAAAAGCATATTTAAAAATCTCAAAAGCATTTGCCCAGCGCTTGCCATGTTTTAAGCACTGTACCAGGCACTTGACTAAGAACCCATTTTCTCCTTATAATGGCACTGTGGTGGGCACTCTTCATATAATGTCCATTTTACAGATGAGGGAAGTGACACATTGAGTGTAATCACTTACCCAATGTCACACAAGCAGTGACTGTATGAGGATTCCAACTTGGACCACCTGTCCCCAGAGTTTCTGTCACCTCTTCACTTTATGCCTTCATAATGTACATGTAGATACACTGGTATAAGCATGGAGTTCTGGAATGTCGCACCAGAAACTATGGTTAAGAGTCTGCTGAGCCCTGGTGGGTATGGCTCAGTTCATCGGAGCATTGTCACAGACTAAAAGGATGAAGGTTTGATTTCCAGTCAGGGCACATACCTATGTTGCGGGTTTGATCCCTCGTCGGGGCATATGTGGGGAGCAATCAATCAGGGGTGTCGAACCCGCAGCCCGTGGCCCGCATGCAGCCTAGGATGGCTGTGAATGTGGCCCAACACAAAACTGTACATTTACTTAAAACATTATGGTATTTTTTTGTGATTACGTGTTGCAATATATTTAATGGGTGGCCCAAGACAACTCTTCTTCCAGTGTGCCACAGAGATGCCAAAAGTTTGGATACTCTAGAACAAACATTTATAAATATCACTTAAATGGAAAATTTTGGAACACAAGTATTACGAGACAATACTTATTACTAATTCTTCAATGACAAATGCAGGGAGTACAAAACATTCTATATGAAGTAACATTTGAAGAAAACTAAATGTTCTCTGCCCTGGCTGGTGTGGCTCAGTAGATTGAGTGCCAGCCAGCAAACCAAAGGGTCACCAGTTTGATTCCCAGTCTAGGGTATATGCCTTGGTTGCAGGCCAGGTCCCTAGTGCGGAACGTGTGAGAAGCAACCACACATCAATGTTTCTCTCCTCTCTTTCTCCCTTCCTTCCCCTTTATCTAAAAATAAATTTTAAAAAAATGTTCTCAGCCTATTTGACACTAGTCATACTTAACTTTTAAATGTTTACTTTCAGTCATCATGTACTTTTAAAAAATGGGAAAATAGCCTTGGCCAGGAGGACATTTCTGCCCTGGCTGGGTGGCTCAGTTGGTTGGAGCATCATCCCATGTACCGAAATGATGAGGGTTCAAACCCCAGTCTGTGTGTGTGCAGGAGGCAGCTGATTGATGTTTCTCTCGCACATCGATGTTTCTCTCTCTCTCTCTCTCTGCCCCCACTCTTTCTTTCTCTCTAAAAAAGTCAATAAAAATATCCTCAGGTAAGGATTATAGAACTAATAAAAGGTGAGAAAATATAAGTAATGGAAAACAGAAACTGTTATGGTGCCACATCTTGTGGAAAGCCACTGTTAGCACTTGGTGTGGGCACATGCATCCCTCCCATGTTATTTTCCATGGAAACTCCATTATGCATATATTGCTTTAAAAAAACCCCTCTGATTATCTCTAAATATTCTATTATCATTTGCTTTATTTCTTTTATAGGTCAAAAACTACTTTATTTCTGTTAGGGGTCATAAACTACTTTGGGAACCATCTAACATGTATTATGGCGTTACTTAAGTCTTCAGTCTTTCCTCACCAGAATTACTCCATTTCATTGTTGTGTAATTGGCCTGTTTCCACTTGACTTTCAACCAAAGGTGTAAGGAGAATATTCTCATCTTCTTCCTGGAGTAACTGATAAAATTAAACCCTGAGAAAACTGTCAAATCATAGAGGGTCCTCTAATGGGTAGACTGAGTGTCCCCAGCTCCCCAGCAGAACTGAGCCAATGGAGATGAGGACTCTATCTTTGCGATCTTAGAAAAGGAAAAAACTTCTTCAAAAAAACAAACAAAGGAGGAAATGACAAATTAGGTTATACTAGAATTAAGGGTTTTTCCTCATCAAAAAAGCCCCTAAAGAGAGAGATCACTATTAGATAATTAGATTAATAGAACAAACACCAAGAATAGATTCATATTCTGCATATATAAATATCTTCTATAAATCAATAGGAGAAACATTGGCAACACAACTGAAAAAAAGGGGGTAGAATAAACAAACACGTTCAAACAGTGTTTACTCAATGACTAGTAAACATGTGAAAAGATATTCAAGTTGCATACCGTCAAGAAAATAAAGTCACTACCTGATACCATCACACAATAACCAGAATGCTAAAGCGAACATGAGACAATGTGTTGACAAGAATGCGAATAAACTAAGAACCTCATCAACTACTGTTGGGTACCATTCATGCATACATTATGGAAACCTGGCATCTCCTGAAACTAAACAGATAGGCATACCTTGTTTCATCACACCTTGCTTTATCACACTCTGCAGTTACTGTGTTGTTTTGTTTTGTTTTATATAAATGAAGGTTTGTGGCAACTCTGTGTTGAGCAAGTCTATTGGTGCCCTTTGCTGATGGGTGAGCAAAGAAAGTGGTTTCTTGAGATGGAAGCTACTCCTGGTGAAGATGCTGTGAAGAATGTTGAAATGACAACAAACGCATTTTGAATATTACAGAAACCTAATTAATTGACAAGCAGCAGCAAAGTTCGAGGGGACTGACTCCAATTTTGAAAGGTCCACCGTGGGTGAAACGCCGCTAAACAGCATTGTGTGCCGCCCTGGCTGGTGCGGCTCAGGGGACTGAGCGCCAACCTGCAAACCAAAGGGCTGCTCGTTCGATTCCCAGTGCAGGGCACAGGCCTGGGTTGTGGGCTAAGTCCCTAATGGGGGACACGCGAGCGGCAACCACACATGGACGTTTCTCTCCCTCTTTCTCCCTCCCTTCCCCTCTCCAAAAGTAAATAAATACAATCTTTTAAAAAAATACATAAATAGCATCTCATGCTACAGAGAAACTGGTCATGAAAAAAGAGCCGACCAATGAAGCAGACCTGACTTTGTCTTACTGTAAGAACCACCACAACCACCTGGCCTTCAGCCATCAGCATGGACGTAAGATCCTCCACCAGCAAAAAGATTATGACTCACTGAAGACTCAGATAAATGGTTAGCATTTCTTGGCAATACAGTGGATTTTTTAAAGTCCTCACCCAAGGATATGTTTTTATTGATTTTAGAGAGAGAGGAGGGGAGAGAGATCGGTCACCTCCCATATGCTCCTAACTGGGGATCACACCTGCAACCTGGGTACGTGCCTTGACAGGGAATCAAACCTACAACTTTTTGGTGTATGGGATGATGTTCCAACCAACTGAGCCACCCAGCCAAGGCTACATCAATAACGTGTTTTAAACTAAAGTATATACATTGTATTTTTATATATAATGCTTTTGCATACCTACTAGACTATAGTATATTATAAACATAACTTTTACATGCATTGCAAAACCAAAAATTTGGTGTGACTCACTTAATTTTGATATTTACTTTATTGCAATGGTCTGGAACCAAACCCACAAGATCTCTGAAGTGTGCCTGTAAATCTCTGACACAGCAATATCATTACCATATAAAAGAAATTTCTACACATCACCTCTTAACACATTCTAGAGCCCTGGCTGGTGTGGCTCAGTTGGCTAAATGCTGGCCTGTGAATCAAAAGTTCACTGGTTCAATTCCTGGTTAGGGCACATGGCCACGTTGTAGGCCAGGTCCCCAACTGGAGGCGTGTGAGAGGCAACTGATCAGTGTTTCTCTCCCTCCTTCTCCCTCACTTTCCCTCTCTCTAAGAAATAAATTTTTTTAAAAACCACATTCTAGAATTTACATATATGCACCATTCCTCATAGCGCAAAACAGAAATCACTCATATGTGCTTTATTAGTATGCTGATTAAATTGTTTGATTTTCACACAATGAAATTCTGTCACCAGTGCAAACGGATAATCGATACCACCATGCAATATCAGAAATGCTATATGGAAGTTTAGAATACAAAATACAAAATATATATTATACCATTTATATAACATAGGTATAGAAATAGGTTCAAAATAGGTAAAGATATTTGGATGTTAAATGTTAAAATAGAGGTCACCATTAGCGATAGTGACTGGGAGCAGCCACAAAAAAGGGAGGCGTCCATCAAGCTGACCATGTTCCGTGGTTTGATGTAGGAATTGCATGTAGAGATATGTTCAGTTTGTGAAATTTCATTGAGCTTTCCATGAATGACATGTGAATATATATTGTTTAAATACATACCTGCAATAACAGAGAAAGTTGAAAAGTGCGGAAGATAGATGCACGTGGCCAAGGGAGTTGCCTGCATGGAGGAGCTTATTGTCTGCATATCCTCGCCTGACCAGCAAACTGGCCGGCGGGGAGGCGGAACGCCACCAAGAGATGAGTGTTATTCTATGTATGGTACTTCCTTGAGGGCTCTTAAGAACTGGCTTTAGTAACTAGATTAATGTTTGTCCCTGCAGTCTTGATAATTAACAGGTCAGGTGGTTCTCATATTAGTTTGCATGCTTTGTACTGTTTAAGCCCGCTACTAAAATAGATGCTTTCCCTCGGTTCGGGGCTTAGTCGGTCACGTCCGCTCAGTCCCCGACTGCTCATCGCATTCAGTCTCCTGCCTCTTCAGTTTGTTGTGGCATCAGTAACATGACAGAAAGGGCTTGAATAATGTCATTATTCTCTTATACTGTCAAGGTAGAAGGTAAAAGTACTAACTTCAAGCCCTTGTTGGGTAGCTCGGTTGGAGTGTCATCCCAATCCGCAAAGGTTGTGGCTTCAAACCCCAGTCAGGGCACATTTAAGAAGCAATCAATGAATGCATAAATGAGTAGAACAACAAATCAATGTTTCTCTCTCTCTCTCTCTCTCTTAAATCAATTAAAATTTTTAGCCCTGGCCGGTGTGGCTCAGTCGATTGAGCACCAGCCTGTGAACCAAAGGGTTGTTGGTTTGATTCCCAGTCTGGGCACATGCCTGGGTTGTGGCCCAGGTCCCCAATGCGGGGGCGCACGAGAGGCAACCACACATTGGTGTTTCTCTCCCTCTCTTTCCCTCTCTAAAAATAAATAAATAAAATCTTAAAAAATACAAATAAAAAAGTATTAACTTCACATCATGACTATTTTTTTAAAGTATACTGCAATACTTAAGTTAAGGAGATGCTGAAAATACAACCCCCCAAAACAGGCAATAAGTGCAACAATTTTGAAAGTTAATACAGAAAAAATAAGAAAACAGAACAGGTGTCATGGAGAACACACAATAAATTGGTAACATTAATCCCAAATATATCCGTTATTATTTTAAACACATATATATTAATTGCTCCTGTTAAAGTCAAATATTGACTACATTCAAAAAAGGTTTTTTTTTTTCAAGAGACAACTGAACGTAAGAGTTAAAGTAGAAAAGTGAAAGACACATTCCTTGTCATTTTCAACAATAAACTGGGAAGGCCAGAGAAATACCAGATAAAGTAGACATGAAGTTTAGAGTAGCTTGTCATAATTAGTATTATGAGTACATTTTTAATTGGGTTCACTGGGGTGACACAGGTGAGCACAACCATCCATGTTTCAAGCGCACAACTCAACGAAACATCGTCTGCACACTGCGCTGTGCGCCCATCGCCCCAAGCAGCCTCTTTCCAAGCCCTTCCTCTCCTCCTCTGCCCGCCTCCACCTACCGCCCAACCCCCTCCCTCTGGCCATCACCACACCGATGTCTGTGTCTATGGGCCATGCATATGTGTTTCATTTGCTTAATCCCTTCACCTTCCTTCACCCAGACCCCCAACCCCCGCCCCTCTGACAGCTACCAGTCTGTTCCCTGTATCCATGCCTCTGGTACTATTTTTCAGTTTATTTTGTTCATTAGATTCCACCTGTAAGTGTTCATCATTGTCTTTTTCTGACTGGCTTATTTCACTTGGCATGTAAGTACATTTTTAAACATACACTTTTCCAGAATTATTGCTTGGGCACTAAGAATCTAATTGTGTGTATACACATATATCTTTATTTATATATCCATCTACCTGTTTATGGATCTATGTGTGTGGGTATATACATACACTTTTATGTATACAAATAGATATAATGTGTGGTGAATGAGTGAGTGAACTACTGAATATTCTGGAAAAACATGTAATATACTTCTTTCTGAAAAGATTAGGAGGGTTTTATATTTCTTATCCAGGCAAAGCAGAGCCAGGAGGCCCTGGAGTCAAAGTGCATGAGAACAAGAGGGCTGAGAGCTGGGAAACACAGAGCAGAGAGAGAGGACACCTTCACCGTCACCTGACTGAGCTTATTTAAAAGAACCACACTAACTTGAAAGGCGGAGGAGAGGGTGTTACAAAAGACAAAGGTGCTCACCAGGACAAGGATGTTCTGGGTGGCTCTGGACTCAGGGGAGGATTGGGAGGTGACACGGGACCTGCGAACGTGTTGGACCCTCTGCTTGTGTCTGTACAGGATGGAGACCATGAAGCCGCTGGCCCAGAACATGAGCACAAAATAAACAACATCAATGAACAATAGCAATGCTACGTACAATGAGTCTGTGCTTTGCCATGATGAACAACAGAATAGAATACATAGTCTCTTTGGCTTGTGATGTTCGTGTTCCTTTGCTTGCCCACCACACAAAGAGGGAGCACGGTATTTATCAGTGTGGTAAAGATCCAAAACAGGGCAGCGGAGGGGTCGACGTCCCTGGGAGCTTTCACGCTAAGCCTGCCCACCTGGAGTTCATGGGGCTGATGGCGATGGCCTGGAAGAGGCCTAGGAGGCAGGTGGTGCCAATGGAGGTGGCTCTGGCCATTCTTTGAACATGGAAAATGAGCATACATTCAGTGGCACTGGGGAGACGTCTCACCCCAAAGGCTACCATTATATGGGGGACTCCTTTAGACAGAATGACCAAGAAGTTGGCTATTATCAGGTGCCGGATAATCAAATCTGTGCACCTTAAACTGTGCCCAGTGAAGTGAAGGAAGAGATAATGGTAAGAAAGAGAGAAATTCCCCAGGATTCCAAATACAACCTGCGATAAGAAGACCAATCCTATCGTCAGGTCCCGGGTGGCCATCCTATTGCCGGTGGCTGATCTTTGTGTTCTCAGCCCCGGCGCCTGTGTGGGAATAAAATACAGGGGCTACATTTAGAGGGTTGTTTGAATCTCAATATTCTCTGTTCACTGTTCTCCCTTACATATTTCTAGGCTCTCTTTAATTTTTTTCGTCTTTTTTTCTTTTTAGTTGTTTCTCTTTATTAAGAGATTTCCAAGGACTGACTTTATAACCTTCAGAGAAAACTTACAATGAATGCACGGATCACTGCTATGAGGAGAGTATCCATGCGGTAACTTCTTTATTCTTCACAAAGCTACGAGGCACACATTACTATTATTTTAATTATAAAGGTAAGGGAAATTTAGACATTACAATTACTTTAATCATTTAATTATAAAGATAAGGGGAACTTAGGTAAATAGAGGTTAAGTGAATTGTCTACAGTCAGACCCTGGTTAGGGGCAGAGCGGAAACTTGCGGATGCCTGGGCTGGTCCCAAGCGCAGTGCATCACGCCAACAAGCTGCCCTAAAAAGCCAGTCAGCCGAGCTCCTCGGATAATCCAGACGTACAGTTCGTGCAGTTTTTACTTGGCCTTTTGGTTGTAACTTTATAATTTTGATTCTGATGAGTTTCCATTTTACAGGTACAGATTTTCAGTAAGCCAAGAGCAACTGTGGATGTATATTTCGAGTTCTTAATAAACGTACGTGCACGGACTGAACTTAGCACTGCAGGAACCTGCCCCAGGACACGCTGCATCGGATGAAGAGAAGAATGGCTTGAGAGCAGGAAGGCGGAAGAAAGATGCATTTGCTTTTGTGCCAGGGAAAAAATTCAACGGCACCGATCACAGAAAACTACTGAAAATGCCCTACCCAAAATTATGGGACGTAAAACAATACTGAATGATAAAATAGCATGTGGTGTAAAGTAAACTATTATTCTATTCAGATCACACACTTATGTACTTATTAACATCAAAGTTAGTCAAACTACTTGCAGTGAAGCATGGGTTTTGAGAAATAATGAAACTTTTGAGACATGCATAAAATGGAATCTCTAGGGCATGGAATAGTGCACACTTTATAAACTGCAACAGCATCTTTTGATATTAGAATTTTTTTTAAAAAAAAAATGGGTCTCCCTAAACAGTAGAGCACAAGGTAAGTTCAGTTTTTGACACCTATTTTCTGGAATTCCTAGTTAAGTGATCCTTTTCTAAGTGGTTTCCCTACCTTGAAGAGGGAATTACCCCTACAACGAAAATGGACCACGGGTATTTTTAATAGAGACACAATTACTGTCTCCATTAATTGCTTCAGACACCAGTTAGACAAAGCATTTCTGTCCCAGTAATTTTAATTCAAATACTGATTCCGCACAGTATTACGTGGTCCTTATAGACTTGCCCGGTTCTTAATCATAAGCATGAATGTGTTATAAGCACAACTCTAGTACTCCTGAAATTCAGTCTGCTTTCCTGTAAGGCAGACAGAACAGCACGTTGATCTCGGAACTGCAGTCCCTAAGCACCTTAAAAATCAGGCTTCATTATCACTTAGACACCAAAATGACTGCCGTTGTAAATTAAATTAGGAGCCGTCATTGGTGGGCAGTAGAGGACCCCGCCCGCCTTTGCCAGCCCAGCTCCCGCATTATTCCTCGTTCCTGTGTGGCTTTGACAGTGCACCAAGTTTACTCTTCAAGCATCACATTTTTCGACAGAATCACTTACCCAGACTTGTGATAGCCCGGGCTTTCATGATAGACTCTGCCTCTCAAGTTGAAATAGAAAACTCACAACCCCTTCCCTCTGTCAGGACGGTGGGCTCCTGCGAAGGTCGGCCCAGCCAGTGCAAATGTGGGACAGAGTCAGCTGGACCCTGAGACACGGGGTAGTGATTCTGTGACATCACCTCCCCCTTGGGGCTGCAGTTGTCATTTCAGCTGCAGCAGCCATCGGGGCGCAGGTTTGAGAGGGAGGATGTTTCTGAAATCTATTTTCAGTTGCTAATTACAGAGAAATCAAAACAAAACAATTTCGAGCATCTAGTCCGCTTCTCCAGGGGGCCCTCTGGAGTGCCTGAGTGAGGCAGTCTCTTGCTCCATGCTCCCCACAGGCAACACCGGAAAAAGCGAGTGTGTTTGGAGACAGTAATTGCAACATTGCAACAAGTGACCAGGAAAATCTAAGGTCTGAGGGACTGGCAGCCAAGCACACGTGTCTCACTGCATTTTCTGAGAAACATGCATGATGTGTCGTGAAAAAAAGTGTATTTCCTTATCTTCAAAATATTGAGCTGCACCAATAAAAATGAGACACAAAGTACCTGGGCAGGATTTTCAGAGCGATGCACATAAAAAGAAGAACACAATGTCCGTACGTTACATCAGAAACCACTAAAATTACATGCACAACTCAATTTCAGGGGGCCTACATGTTTTGAGCTTTTTAATTTACCTTTAGCTTTTTATACCATTCACCATCTACCAGTGTATCCCATAAATAATTGTTAGTTGTACATAGGAAGACTATTATTTTTGATGTGTCAGCTGTATCAGTTAAATGAGTCATTTTTGTATCAGGTTTTCTTTCTTTCAGTTGCTTCATGTTTCTAGATATACAATAATATCATCTCCAGACTGGGTCTCCAATCATTATTTCCAATTCTTCTGCCACCTGAAATGCCATGGCTAAGCTTCAATGTAATTTTAAATGAGTGACACAGGCAATATTGTGCATCTTAGTGTTGTTTCTGACAAGAGCTCCCCCTTCCTATTGAACGCTTCTCCCTTAACGCTTCCTGTGAGTAGCAGTAGGACACGCATATGCAAATTAATATGCGAATCAACATGCATTTGAGGAGGGCAGAGACTTCTGTCAAGCTAGAAAAAAAATCCATGGAAAGAGTATGGAGTTTCCTCTAAAAATTAAATATAAAACTACCATTTAATCCAGCAATTCCACTTTTTGGGTATTTATCTGAAGAAAACAAAAATGTGAACTGGAAAATATATCTACACACCCATGTTCGCCGCAGCATTATTCACACTAGACTAGACATGGAAGCAACCTAAGTAGCCATCGAGGCATAAAAGAATGAAGATTATAGTTACTGACTGATTTGATCCTTTTCATAACAGTTTAGATGAGATATAATTTACACATAAAATTTTCCTTTTCGAGGTATGCAGTCCTTACCCTCGCTGTTGTGGCTCAGTGGATTGAATGCCAGCCTGCGAGCCAAAAGGTCCCTGGCTTGATTTCCCAGTCAGGGCACAGGCCTGGTCTCCAAAGAGGGTAGGGGGGTGGCGCAAGAGGCAACCACACATTGATGTTTGTCTCCTTCTCCTTCTCCCTCCCTTCCCCTCTCTCTTAAAATAAATAAATACGATTTTTTTTTTAAAAAAAAGAAGTATGCAATTTGATTGACTTTTTTTTGGTGTGTACTTACAAAATTGTACAACCTAACTTCAGTATATTGTATTTTTTTAAAGATTTTAAAAAAAAAAGTTATTTATTATGAGACCCCGCAAGAACAGGCAAAACTAGATCTGCAAGTTTTTTCCCAGTGTGCTCAGATTGCCTTCTGGTCACTTACGAAGGTGCCGGAGGCAAGGACTAAGGCCGCCAACTCCTCTACTAACATTCTCCAGGAAGCCACAGAGTCTTACATAAATTTTACAGATCGGTTGCAGGAGGCTATTCAGAGACAGGTAGATAGCCAAGAAGCTGCAGGAACCCTTTTACTACAGCTTGCTTATGAAAATGCTAATGAAGATTGTAAGGTGGCGCTTGGCCCAATTATACTTATGGCCACTGACATCAGCCAGTATCTTAGAGCCTGTCAGAACATCAAGCGCCGAGGTGGTTCCTTACTTGCTGCAGCTGTGAAAGGAGAAATAAACTGCTTCTAGCCCTAAGTGGAACGTGTTATCTTTCCCAGGTTTTTTTCCTCCTAACTCTGCCTTTTCAGCACTCAAATTTGCTTCATTTATAAGTTCCCCCTCTTCGTTTCATAATATACTTAGGTGAAATATCTGGCAACCTAATTAGGCTTAAGTTTTAAGAGGCTTATTATACTTATTTTAGAATGTTAGGTAGGTATATTGTGGGAGGTTCAAGGAAGTCGCAGATGGTCTGTGCAAGTTGAAGAAGGATTGTGTAGGGGGAAGGACGGAGAAAAAGGAATAAAGAAAAACATGTGCCACATCCACGTGTGGCATGAAAGGAAGGGCTTTGGAAGTAAAAAAGGAATAAAGGAAAAGTAGGCATATAAGTTTTTGGAACACCCTGAAATGCTAGACCTAGAAGCTACTAGGTCCTGAGATCAACAGGGTAATGAACTCGTTAATCCGAACAGCAGGGTGCCTGCTTCGCGGACACTGTGGAAAAAGACAAAGTGACACTTCTAAACTCAGGCGTTTTTTCAGCTGCGCCTGCCTGCGGCCTGGGCCTGTCACCCCAGGCTACTGCCAGGACTGATCACGGCCATGGTGACGCGGCAGGGTGGACTCGAGAGTTTTTACACAGATGGGAAATTCAGCACAAGGCAGGAATTCCTCATAATCCTACCGCTCAAGCAATTGTACAGAGAGCTCATCAATACCTTTAATTCTCTCCTTACAAAACAGAAAAGGGGGAGTCAGGAGTCCCCCCCCTAAAAATTTACTGATGGCCATGTATACCGGTAATGTTCTTGTGATGACTCACTTACTACTCCAATAGAGAAACATTTCCACCGGAGTAAACCCAATGGGCCCTGCCCCTTGGTATTGCATCGGGACCCCCTAGGAAACTGAAACTGGGAGGGACCGGGGGAATGGTTAGCCTTGTGGGAGAGGAGACACACGTGTTTCAGTCCCAACAGGACCGTTGTGGCTACCTGTGAAAAGAGCGAAACTCTACCATGGACCTCTCATCTCGACCAGTCTGGATAAACCAGGCAGAAACACCACATCTGATCAGCTCTGAGAAGGCGGGAGGATGGCCAGGATGCCCTTGCTGCCCTCCAGCAGCTGATCCATGATCCCGGCTTCTTTCACTCCGCATAATGCCTTTGATAATAAATTGTGCTGTTATGTATATAAATAGTTCATTTCTTTTTATCACTGGGTGGTACTTCATTGTAGGCCTATATCACAGTTTGTCCACTCAACACTTAGTTGTTAGACATGGGGTTCTCTCAACTTTGGCAATTGTACTACAATGCGTAAATACTTCATCCATGTATTTTTGGGTGAGGTAATTTTTATTTCTCTGTGAAATCATTTGAGATATCCTGAAAGTTGTGTATTTTGCAATCATTTACTCTTTAAAGTTTAGATTCCATCTGAAATGAGGTATTGGAGATCTGCAATAGTCTTTACAATGTACCAAAAACACAAAGAACATTTGAGGACCCCTCATACGCAACAAGCCCCCACATTTGCAGGGGAAAGGTTGAGCTGTAAATATCTGCTAAGACGAGGTAATACAGGCGCCGTGAGCTGGTTCTGTAGGAACTCTCTGGAATCCTTGTCTGTGCTCAATCCTGACACAATGATCCTTGCACTGATAGTCACTTTAGATTATTGAGGAGGAGGATGACTTTCTTACTCGCCCCTCATCAGAAATCAGTGTGTGGATTGAGGGTAATGTAGCTATATGACGTGGGCACAGTAAATACCGCTTGTATTATCCCCCTTAGAGATTGTTATCCCACAAAGTGAATGTAACAGGGCAATGTGGAATATTAATTTGTTTTCTCCATGTACCTTCTAGTTCAATGAAATGAATAAAAAATGAGCAAATACATGAAGGAGAAAAGACATATCTTTTTTATGAGGTTGCTATTTAATTTTTATTACATTTACTGGGGTGACAATGGTTAATGATTATATAGGTTTCGAGGGCACATTTCTATGACACCGGATGTGTTTACTGTATTGTGTGCCCACCACCTACAGTCACGATGTGGTACATACATATAACAGAACATTACTCCACCATCAGAGAAGATGGAATACTGCCATTTGCAACATGGATAGACCTTGCTAATATCATGCTAAGTGAAATTAATCAGACAGAAGCATTTGATTTCACTCTTATGTGGGATATGAAGTTGAAAGCAATGAATAAACAAACAAAACAAAAAAACCCCACATAGACAAAGACAAATCTTTCTTGAAGAAGAACGCCCAGTGGCGTACATAGAAATTCCTCTTTCCAGGAGCTGGAGGTTAATTCAGCTGTTCCTATAACTTATGTCTGTGCTAAACTGACCAACTCCATTCCAATCAATGAAGAGCAAAAATGGACACACAGTAATTTCATAGTGTAGAAACTGGAACCATGACCAACACTTGATGACCAAGTGATCAAGGTTAACATCACCAGTGATAAGTGATGCCATTTGCATGAATTCCCTGACACAACATGACACGAGATGTTTTTCTAAAAGCCTATAAATCTTGAAGAATCAGGAAAAAAAGCACCAGGCAAACTAAAGTTTAGAGACATTCTGAAAAGCATGTGGCCAGTGCTCCTCACACATGTCAAGGTCATGAAAAACTCCAGAATATTGAGAAACTGAGAAGAAAAAAAAGAAAGACTTGTCTTGAGAGACATGTTGACAAATTAAAATGTAGTATCCTGGATGGAATCCTGGAAGAGGGGAAAAAAAGACATTAGTTAAAACTGGTGAAATACAAATAAAGTCTACAGTTTTATTTCCCATATGGTGTCAATGTTGGTTTCTTAGTTTTCTGAAATGTGTTGTAGGAACGTAAGCCATTAACAACAGGGAAAAGAGGTGAGGATAATATATAAACTCTCTATATTTCCTCTGCCATGTCCCTGCAAATTTAATTTTATTTCAAAATAAAAATTTACATTAAAATTGCAACCATTTATAATTTAATGAAAGATACTTACATTAACTTATTTCCATGTTTAAGTTAACACTACCTTTTTAAAATATATACTACCGCCCTGGCTGGTGTGACTCAGTGGATTGAGTGACAGCCTGCAAAGCAAGGGGTCGCTGGTTCAATTCCCAGTCAGGGCACATGCCTGGGTTTGGGCCAGGCCCCCAGTGGGGGGCATGTGAGAGGCAACCACACATTGATGTTTCTCTCCCTCTCTTTCCCCTACTCTTCCTGTCTCTCTAAAAACAAATAAATAAAATTTTTCAAAAATATATACTACCTTTTTCTTTTCAATGTGAACATTTTGCTCTGTTGGGGATTTCAAAGGCAATAAAACTCATTAACGAAACATAGTAAATAGACTCATATATTTGGCCTTCAAATTTCTAGTTTTCTACTAATCCATGCTTGATTAAACTTTCTCCATAAGCCTGTCTCCTCAAATTGGAAGTTCAGGAATCCCCCCTCAAATTGTTTCTTATCCACCAGCCACTGGCACCAAGACCTAGTCCAGAACAATCTACCTTCTAAAGGTTGTGAAAATTGATTGATTTTTATCACAGACATAAAATATCCCTTTAATGTTTGCTTCCCACCTATATTGTCTTTATATATCAGCTAACATATTATCCTGTGTCCTCTTCTATCCCCTGGTTTGCTATTCTATGTTTAATGGACAGTATTTTTTAATATGTTCATCTTAATACACCTTTTCTTATTTTGAACAACTACCATTTGTCCAAGGATGTAAGGCACAATATTCACAACTTGGCTCTCACTGTCCGGAGTAACTAATGCCTAATTTTCTCTCTGGCTTCACCTCAGGCCACTTGCATCACAACATAGGGACACTGAAGCCTCTACTTTAAAATTCTTGAAGGAACCTCCTACATGCTATTCCTTATATTTCTGTTCAATTTAACACTGAGTTTATCTATTCTTCTCCCCTTTTTGTTCAGCATTCTTGTAACCAGGATTTGGAATTGCATTTACCTGGTAGGTTGCTTATCTCCATCACACACAGTTCTTTTTCTGGAACTTTGTCCTGTTCTTTCATTAGGAACATATTCCTTCATTTCCTCATTCTGGCTGTGTCTCTGTGTTCATGTCCATGACTTAGGCAAAACAGCAACTGCTCCATCATAAAGAGTGGCCCTGTATAGGAGCTTCCCCTTTGCTGACTTCCTGTGCCACTTGTCTTAGGCGGGCCAGTTGGTGCTGGAATGGGCATGGGCCATGGGGCATCCCAAGGACAAGCTGCACTGGGGTCACCTGGGAAGGCTTGTTGGAACTGCCTCTGGAGTGGGTATGAGATATAGGGAGCCTTGAGGGCAAGCTGTGCCTGGGCTGCCTTGGCTTGCTGATAAGGTTGCTGGGGCCATAGTTTGAGCCAACTTAGAACATGGGGCTTTTGGAGTGTAAGCCACAGTTGGGTCATTTGAGCAGCCGAACTTAACAGATATTTACAGAACATTCCACCAAAAACAAAAACAGCAGAATACACATTCTTTTCAAATGTACAAGGAACATTTTTCAGCATAGGCTACATGTTGGGCCATGGAACAAGGGTCAATAAATTTAAGACTGAAATAATGTCAACCATTTTCTCCAGTCACAATGGTATGAACCTAGAAATGATTTACAAAGAGAAATCTAGAAAAGACACAAGCATGAAGGCTGAACAACATTCTACTAAAATAACCAAGAGATTAACAAATCAAAATACAAATCACACATTTTTTAGAAACATGAAAATGTAAACAAAATGATCCATAACCTATGACACAGCAAAGTGGTTCTATTAATTTTTCCATTGCAATTTAGTATTCTAAAAATCTACTGAGATATGATTGGATTTAAGTGACTCCCACCTTACTTTTGTCAGAATTGAATGTTCATGCTCTTTCCAGCTAAGAATATATGTTAATCTCCTTCTATTTAAATGTCCTGTTATATCCACTTAGTATATCATTCATTTTGTAAAGCTTCAGAAAACTTTTTGTAGATTTACTATGTGAATCTATTTTATCTAGACAGGTCTTCCCTTTTTTTTTTAAGAAAATTTTATTTATTGATTTTAGAGAGCAAGAAAGAGAAACATCAATTTGTTATTCGACTTTTCTCTGCATTCATTGGTTGACTCTTTCATGTGCCCCAACCGGGGATTGAAACCACAACCCCAGTGCATCAGGACGGCGCACTAACCAATTGAGCTACCTGGCCAGGGCTGGTAGCTGTTTTCAATATTCATTTTTTTGTACCCTAAAGTTCACTATCCCAATGTTTAAGGGACAGTATTCTTAATGTGTTCATCTTTCCTGATACCCATTTTCTCATTTTGAACTATTATTTCCCTAAGAACATAAGGCACCATATATTCACACTCGGCTGTCACTGTCCATAATAACTAACACCTCACACCTAATTTTCCCCCAGCTTCACCTAAGACCACTTGCATTAAAACACAGGGACACTGAAGCCTCTATCCTAAGATTCTTGGAGGAACATCCCACATGATGTTCCTTTTAAAGGCACTACTCTTACTATCACATGGCCAGCAACTCTTGAGGACATTGACGTGTCGCATTAAAGATTACACACTGAAAACCATTTTCAGTATCTCTATATTATTTCAGGACTGTTTTATTGTTCGTTGGCCTCTGAACTTCACTACAACCACTATTAAAATATAATCACAAGATTATATTTTACATAATAATTACTATAATGTAGTAAAACAAGATTTCATTTATTATTTACTATTTATCGTTGCAGCAGAATCACTGTCTTATTCAAAACTCCATAGTCAATGAGACCGACTCCAATTTTGCTCATGCTTCCTTGCATGAAGAGCACATCAATGTCTGAACACAGTGAAAAGTAGACAGTTTACGTTGCTCTGAAGGGATGCAGGAATTGTTTATGTCTCCCAGTACACACAAGGAAGAATCTGGATACACGCTGGTCACTACTCAAGAAGACAAAGGGGCTGGCAGTTGGGAAACATGCATTGATTAGGGCAGAGGTGTTCATCACCCACGAAGTGGTCTTACAAAAAATAAAAAAATAAATGTGAACAATGGAGGAGAAGGTATAAAAAGATACAAAAGTTGTCACCAGGACAAGGATGCTCTGGGTAGCTCTGATCTCAGGGGAGGATCTGGGGGACACTTTGGTCCCATGAATGTGTTGGACCCGCTGCTTGTGTCTGCACAGAATGGAAACCATGGTCCCACTGGCCCAAGTCATGAGTCCCAAACACAAAACATCATGGGTGGATGTCAATAATATATATAGTAAGTCTGTGTCTTTGTCATGAAGTTCAGAAATACAGTATCCGAAGTCTATAGTTTTTGAGAGGGTTTTGTTGCTCAATTTGTCAGTCGTGTACTCAGGAACCCTAATGTTTAGCAATATATTCAGGATCCAGCAGAGGATATTTGAGGGGCCAATGTATTTGGCAGCTCTCGCTTTAAGCCCTGCCCACCTGGAGTTCATGGGGCTGATGGTGATGGCCTGGAAGATGCTCAGGAGGGAGGTGGTGCTCATGGATACACCCCTGGCTACTCTGTGAACATAGAAAATAAGTTTGCAACCAAAATCTTGGAGAAAATGTGTCACCCCAAATGCTGCCAATGTCTCTGGAATTCCCCTCGAGAGAATGACTAAGGAGTTAGTTAAAGTCAGGTGCCTGAGAATCAAATCTGTGGACTTTGACCTGTATCCACTGAGGTAAAGGGACAGGTAATGATGTAAGAGTGAGAAATTCCCCAGGATTCCAATGAGCATCTGAAACAGGAAGATCATTGCAAATTTCAAATCCAGTGAGGCCATTCTCTTATTTCCCAGGGGTCAGTGTTCACATTCGTAAAGTGAAGATTCTGCATAAAAACAAGACTGTGGGCTAACTGTATATTTACAAGAATTTGCGTTAAGGCCTAACAGTATTCTCCTTTTACAGACAAGGAGTATTTCATTTAAAGGAGGTTATACAACTCAGTTAAATACTGGAACAGTCAGGCGTTGAATCTAGGTAGCCTGGTTGCGATAACATCAGTGTTTACCATTATGCTATACTCTCCTAACTAACTGGTTGTGTCTTTTAAAAAGTCCAGAGACTTGCATACATTGTCCTATTTGTGATTTATTTCATGTTCAATTATGCCTAATTTTCATTTCTGTTAAAATATTTATTCTGTTGCTCAATATCGTTAGTGAATGAGAAAGAAACAGTCTTAATAAAACGTGGATGCAGCTCTGGTCAATCTCTCTCTCTCTCTCTGTCTCTCTCTCTCCCCTCCTCTCCCCTTCCACTCTCAGGGATCTAAAAGAAAAGTAGGGGCACCCAATATTTTTATGAACAAATTGGGTTTACTGATGTGAACCCATGTTAGAAGAGTCACAGAAATAATCACAGGTACCCACTATAGAAATTACTGCATGCATTTCACTTTGCCCTAAAATATGAGATTTGTAATTTAAATAAGAGATGGAAAATCAAAGTAGGACCAATTATTTCTTGTTAGAGAGCATGCAATTACTTTTTACTATTTTGAAAGAATAATTGGAACGAAGTAATATGTGAATTGAGAAATATAAAAAATCTAAACAGGTACGCACTTTGGTATTTCACGGTCTAACACCTTGGTCATTGAATCAGCATTAAGAGATGAAACAAGAGGATGAGCCTGAATATGGTGTTAGCGTATTGAAAACCAGACAAAATGCCAAAAGACACATTTGAGCCTAGAAAACACTGAAGCTCTTAGTCTGCTATCCAAATTCTTCACATGTGAAGTTACCTTTTCCTGAAAGTTTTTTTCCCAAACTTCACACACACACAAAATTTATCCCACCTTGATGACTAGATTGTAAATACAATACAGTCAGGAGAGACATAATTACTGAGCCTATTAGACATACCAGGCCTAAATAAGAGAAAAATAATTATACGTCAGCAAATGACAGTCACATTATTGACACTGAGGTATCAGTATTGCAATTATATCCATCAAACTTATTAACACATGCAGAGAACTTTGAGGAGATAACTATATTAATCATATAAATTTCTCTGTGATTTCATAAAGCTGATAGAATAGCACACTAATTTCTGAATTATAGTTTTAATGGTTATAAAAAGTCAGAGTTCGTTACTTCACGGGACAACCTCTAAAAATTGCCATTAGGGAGGGGATACGAAAGAACTTTGAAAGCAGCTGGAGATGGATACAGGGCCTCCCACCTCCTGTCTCTATCAGCTCAGCCCACGCCTCAGGGATTAGGGCTCCTTTCTGTGTAGCTCTGCCGCTCAATCAATTTCTACCCACAGAACAACCCCTTTTCCAGACAGGAGGACCAACCCAGACACAGATCCTGATACAGCTCATTTCCTTACAGACTGCGTCACTCCAACTGACACAGAAAATACTCACCCCAGTCTTCTCTGCTGCCAGCCAGGGAAGCACAGGGTGACAGTCACGATATCCTGCTTGTGTGCGGGGGCGGCAGCCGGAGGTGAGATAAGGCTCTGTGACTCTGTGACCTCACCTCCCCACAGAGAAGCAATTATCACTTCACCTGTACCTCCGGTGACACTGCACAAATGGGCCAGTTGACGCTACATCTAAAAAGTTTCCATCAGTTCCCAATTCCCAGAAACACTTATAAGTTTCTAGTGAGGCTCTGCAAAGAGTCAGGGTTTGTGTGGGGGGGCAACTTGGAGGCAGACAGGGTCCCCAGTGGCAGAAGCAGGAAATGTTCAGATCTGACAGGGGAGAGGCTGGCAGTGACTGACTCCTGTACCATTGGACTCTTTGCTTCCCTAAAAAAGTTCACTATTCCTCCAAATATTTGTCTGTTGATGTCTGGTCTAAAAACTAGAAAACAAGGAAGGTTATGAGCAAAGAGATGGAAGGATACCAGGACCCAGGCTGGATTCCTCAAGAATAAAAGAGTGAAATAAAAAAAAGATGAACCTGGCTGGTGTGGCTTAGGGATTGAGTGTCAGCCTGTGAACTAAAGGATTGCTGGTTCAGTTCCCAGTTGGGGCACATGCCTGGGTTGCGGGCCAGGTCCCCCGTCAGGGGCGTGCAAGAGGCAACCACACATTGATGTTTCACTCCTCTTTCTTCCTCCCTTCCCCTCTGTCTAAAAATAAATAAATAAAATCTTTTTTTTTTAAAGATAAGACTATGCACATACTTTAGTATCCATGCAAGGTTTGTGTGATGCAGTGCACTTAATTTGAAAGTCTGTCTGACATGGCTATCTCTGGGAATGTATATTTTATCAATATTGACCCAAGGACAGATACAACTTCTGAGCTGAGCAACTTCCATATTCCTCATCAAAACAGCACTGGGTGATGTGTTTTATCAAGAGCATCTTCTACTCTCTTTTTTTTTTTTTTAAAGAGAGGGGAAGGGAAGGAGAGAGAGAGGGAGAAAGATCGATCAGTGGCCTCTCCTAATGGCCCCTACAGGGACCAAACATGCAATAGAAATATATGCCGTGACTGGAAACTGAAACGGAACTTTCAGGTTTTCAGGATGATGCTCCAATCAACCGAGCCACACCAGCCAGGAAAGCATCTACTACTCTTAAATAGCAGATAGATCAGTGCCACTTAGGCCATCCAAAAGTATTGAAGAATAATACTATCTAATGATTTTCTAAAATCTTAAAAAGATTACTGTGATATTTCACAAATCTCATGTATGCTTAGTATAGAAATCATTAAATGTAATATTTGCAAATATTGCTGCCCATGAACTATCACACTCTAATCAAGTGTAGACTATAGCCATTTAGTTAGATAGGGAGACCTAATATCATGAAGCTATTAAGTCTCCCTTCATTGATCTGTAGCTTTAATAAACTCCCAATCAAAATCCTAGAATATTACTGTTAAATTACCATTAAATTAGAAGAAACAGTCAGGACTGACACTACCCAACTTAAAGACAATATAAATCTAAGTAAATTAAGACTGCATGATATTGGTAAAGAATATAGACAAATAGGTCATTGAACAGAGAGCCCAGAAATAGCTTCGGAAATAGACTCACAAAAATATAGTCAACAGCTCCTTCACAAAGGAGCAAAGGCAAGTCAATGGAGAACTTACAGTCTTTACAGCAAATGGTGCTGGAACTAGTGGACGTGTACATGCAAGGATCTACATCTAGATACAGACAAACAAAATCTAGATACAGACCTCACATCCTTCACAAAAATTAGCTGAAAATGGATCTTATACTGCAATGTAGAAGATAAGACTGGAACACTCCTAGAAGCTAACAGGAGAAAATGTAGATGGCCTTTGGTTCTGTGATAACTTTTCAGATATTAATACAACACCAAAGACATGACCCATGAAGAAAATAATTGCACACTGAACTTTATTAAAATTAGATACTTGTGCTCTATAAAAGATTACCAAAAATCAGAAGACAAGGCACAGATTGGGAGGCTGTATGAGCAAAAATATGTCTGATAAAAGGACTGTCATCTAAACTACACAAAGAGAATGTAAAACTCAGTAAGAAAACAACCCAGTTATAAAAATGGACAGAATATCTGTATAGACACCTCACCAAAGAAGATATTTCCATAGAAAATAATCATGTGAAGAGATACTTACCATCATTCACCATTAGAGAACTGAACACTGAAACAATGAGATAGCCCTACATATCTATTAGAGTGCGTGTCATCCAAAACCGAGACACCACCCAATCCTCCCACGGAGGTAGAACAACAGCAACTGTGATTCATCTTGCTGGGAATGCAAGCTGGGACAGTCGCTATGGAAGACAGAAGAGGGTTTTTTACACAATTAAATCTCCTCTCATACGATACAGAAATCTCACCACTAGCTATTTACCCAAATGAGTTGGGCACTTATATCCACTCACGATCCTGCACAGAACTGTTTCTGGCAGCTTTATTCGTAGCCACCAACACTTGGAAACAACCAAGATGCTTTTCAACAGGGGAAAGGATGAATCGCTGTGGCACATCCATACCGTGAGATTCTATTCAGTGCTTAAAGGAAATGAGCTATCAAGCCATGAAAATAAATAAAAGAAACTTCAATGAATAGTAGCAAGCAAATAAAGCCAACTTGAAAAGGCTACATACTATAAGTTCCCAACAATATAACATTCTGGAAAAGGCAAAGCTCTAGAGAAAATAAAGATCAGTTGCTAGTGTTTGGGAGAGGAAGCTAACATCAGGAGGGATGAATACGTATGCACATGACCTTTTTAGGCTATGAAATAATTCTGCCTACCATAATAGTGGATACACGTCATTATACATTTGTCAAAACTTAAAAAAAAAACCTCACACACAGAGTGAAATGTAATGGAAACTACAGACTTGGTTAATAATGATGTGTCGATGTTGGTTTACTGTAACACATGGATCATTCTGGTGCAGGTTGTTGATTGCAGGGAGGTTCCACCGTTATGCTGTGATGTAGGAGGTCGCTTTGAGTGGTATTGGGCACTGTAGTCTCGTGCAAGCTGGGAGAGGACCTGTAAGCCTTGGCCGGAACACTGGTAATGCGGAGACAGGCAAGACCCGATAGTAACTCCGAGGGCCCCCAGGGGAAATCAGGCCTGGAAGTCAATTATACTCCTTGAAGCAGGTTTTGTTTCTCCCTCATGCTCTGTTAATCTATACCAGATAACCAGCTCAAGGCTGGGAAAGGAATTTACAAAATTCCTGGTCCCTGACCCAAATCCCACCCGGCGCCATAATGTTTGCTCATCTCGGACCCAAGAAGTTCAGTGTGTTCTTGCCATTGTCCTCTTTAAACAACACTT